CAAAGGTTCCTCGCGAGCGGTCAGCTGAGTCGATCGCACACTTTCAGCGGGAGATGGCTGTGCGTGCTCTCGCTGCACCAGTTCTGTCTCCGCGCTCTAAAGTTCAGCTGCCCACCGGCCCTTCGTCCTCCGCGACCCCCCTGCTCGACATGGAGAATGCCGAAAAGCAAAAGTGGGCGAAGCGGCTGAAGGCAATCGTCGATCGAGCAGGCGACCATGCCGGCCACAATCGCGAGCCCGATGCTGGTGGGATCCTATCAGCTGAAGAGCGTGATCGCCTACGGCTTCTGGTGTTCACCTCTGGGGCGCCCGCCACAATGGCGAACCATATTCGTCGCTTTGAAAAATTCGAACTTTGGGCTCAAACGATGCAGCTCGCCTTCTACCCGATCACGGACGATCTTATCCTGAAGTACGCCATGGAGCTCGACACCAGAGAATGCGGCCCAACAGTGGTGCCGTCTTTGAGGACAGCTCTTAAGTGGGTGGCTTTCCGCACTCACATCAAGATTCCTTCGGTCGAAACCGCTGAGATTAAAAGCTCTCGAGAAGAAGATCTTCACCGAAAGAGGGAAACCTTTGAAAGAAGCGATCGCCTTCCCGATCGAGCTGGTTCAGGCGATGGAGCAGTTCGTGGTTAACCCTGCGCATGCCGCACCAGCTCGGGTCTTCCTCTGGTGGGTACTTTGCATGATCTTTGCGTCGCTCCGCTTTGACGATGCAATCCACGTAAAGCCCCACGAGATTGAGGTCTTGCCAGAGGGTCTTTTTGGCATCTCCTGGCAGACCAAGACGGAGAGAAAGCGGCGCGGTACCAAGTTCATGGTTCCGGACATCGCCTTCTCTAAGGCCGCCTGGTTCAAGGTAGGCCTTGACCTGTTCAACCTTCAGTTTCCGCTCGTGGAACGTGACTTTTGGGTGCCCGAGCTCGACACGAAAGAGCAATGGCGCGCCACTCCACCAGACTACGCGCGATCTTTGCAGTGGCTCCACCACTTGGTCTGGGTGGCTGGTCGCGAGGCCGGACTCCCTAAGGAGCTCCTCGACAAGGTCACC